ACAATAACAATAACAACAATAACAACAATAACAACAATAACAACAATAACAACAATAACAACAACAACAACAATAACAACAACAACAACAACAACAATAACAACAATAACAACAACAACAACAATAACAATAACAACAATAACAATAACAATAACAATAACAATAACAATAATAATAATAATAATAATAATGACTAATTTTTAGGATCAATTTGTCACAAGAAGTTGTTAAAATCAGTAGGAGTCAGAAAAAGATGTTAGCGTACACCAAATGCTAAAAAAATTATACCAAATAGCAAATCTAAAAAGAATTGTTAAACGTCTCGATTTTCAAATCACTAAAAATAAGGAACGTTTGTCTGAAGCACTTGAATATACAAGTTCTCCAGAATATCTTTCTGCAGAAGTAAATAGCGTTCTTTAAATTTTATTTGGAATCAGCTTAAAATGCAGAAAAAACATCCTCGAGGAAGAAGGTACAGTTTTGAAGATAAGACATTTGCTGTGTCTTTATTTAAACAAGGTCCTGCATCATATAGGACTTTAAGAAAAATATTTGCACTACCATCTATGAAAACATCAAACAGCATTATTGAATAAAGTCCCCTTCAATGTAGGTGTTAATCCTAAAATTATGATGATTTTAAAAGAAGTTGTAAATAACTTTCATTTGCGTGACCGATATTGTGTTCTTCATTTTGATGAGATGTTAAGAGCCTTCATTAAGTTACAACAAATAATCTGATAACGTTATTGGTTTTGAGGATATCGTTATCAAAAAAACTATGAAGTTTGCTGATCAAGCTTTAGTTTCATGATCAAGGATTAAGAAGGAAGTGGAAACAGGCAATATCATTTAAAAATCAAGGAGGAATGAAAGCAGATGCCATTAAGAATATCATTAAAACTATAATAGACAATTTGCAAGATATTGGATTTATAGTTGTAGTAACTGTGTGCCGACCAGTTTTCAGCAAATTGTGCTGCTATTAGACAATTAGTGGAAGATACTGATGAAGAAAGTAATTAAGAATTATTTAAAATTAAGGATTAAGGAATTGTAGCAATATATGATCCTCCTCCTTTATTAAAAGGAGTTAGAAATAATTTTATTAATAATGGTACCAAATTTATTTAAAGACAGTACCGAGAAAAAAGTACGGTGGAGTGATATACAGAAACTGTATGAATTAGATGTAGGAGATTTTAACCCTAAAATATTTTACAAGTTAACGAATGCCCATACAAAGATCAGCTACGAACAATTAAGGTGAAGTTTGCTGCTCAAGTATTATCTCACAAGGTATCCTTCACATTAAGGTGGACTGCAAAATTAGGCGTTTTTAAATCTATATAAATCTGTTTGCGCAATAATGTGTAAATATTTTGTTTTCGGGAAACAAGGGTCTACTCGATTCAACCGCTGAAGATACGGCAGACGTTGGGTCTTTTATGGATCAGCTGGTTGACAGTGTAAATGGAGCAGCATATGAACCTGAAACAACTAAGATGTGCTGTAAAGGAAAATTCTCCACATATCAAATTCTGATATGATGCTATAAATTTTTAAAAAACAAAATTTTGTACTCCTAGAGGAGATGTTGTGCCACCAACAGTTAAGAACTGGATAAAAACGTTGCATTAGTACCTACAAACAAAGTAAAGAATGCAGGATTCATTTCTGTCCAGGGAATGTCAACCAAGATCCACTAGAATTTTTTTTCGGATGTATGTACATCTTCTACAAATTCATTTAAAAGTTTAATAATAAATAATTTTTCAGCAAGTCATTCACCAATGGCAAATTGTGAGGAAGATAATAATGTTGCCTTAGTTGTTTAGAACATTAAAAAAAGGATTATCTGAATAATTGACATGTGAAGTATATATATCTTCATATGAAGATGATGATTTTCAATTTAAAGAAATTTTAGATAATTACATTATAAATACTCATTCATACATTGCAGGATATAGAATAATTTTAAAATATACAAAGAAATGTCCAACGTGTTTTAATCAGCTGGTGTGTTTAACATCTTCAGAGGAGCACAACCTAATTTTACAACGCGAATACATGCAAAATTGATACTCATACCAAAAACTCAATTTATAGATGTAGTTTTTGTCTATGGGGCAAGTATTTGATTATTATATAGAAAAATTAGTACTGAATGATAATATTAAAAACAACCTTATACACAATATCTATGCGACAATCCATGCGAAGCACATAAAGTATCTTATTCTCCGAACATCATATAGGTACTATTTTTTCTTCAAACGTTATACATTCTAGGTAAAATGATTAAAACAACTATAAGAAAAAAACGAATTTTGAATAAAGATTGTAACATTGAATCTTACTTATTTCACTGTACTATACAGCGTGGTAAAAAAGTTCTGCATAAAATTCATATTTTCGTTAAACAATTTTTTTCGAAAAACGGTAAGACCCGTCGATTTTTATTTGATCCAGGGCACCTTGTTATGTGGAAAAATTTTTTTTTCGATAATCCACTTACGGCAGCGATGACATAATTTTTTTTTAAATGACAACGCATATTTTTTTCGTTCGAAATTGATGACAGTGATAATTATCTAAACAACGGTGTGAAAATTTCGATGTCTTACATAACAATTTTTTTTAGAAAAATGCACCTTAAGTTCTTATAAGTGATAATTGTCTACTTACACTATTAATGGCTCCGAAAAGGACAAAGTTGACAAAATTACATTTCAAACGAGTAAAATTACACTAATGTTTGTGTAAGTCTAGCGAAATTGTTCGAATTGCCCACCCTGTACCATTTGGCATTGTCCTAAGCGTGTGTAAACGCCGTCTACACTTCGTTCAAGCATTCCCGGGTCGATTTGATTTATTTCAAAACGAATACGGTTTTTAAGTTCTTCCAAATCACCTGGTCTGTTTGTGTACACACGCGATTTCAAATAGCCCCACAAAAAAAAGTCTAGAGGTGTTAAATCAGGCGAACGCGGAGGCCACTCGATTGTTCCGCGTCGCCCGATCCACCGGCCAGTAAACGTGTTATTCAAGTACTCCCGTACTTGCACTCCATAATGGGGCGGTGCACCATCCTGCTGAAACCAAATTCTTTCCTCAGGAATATCAGGATCCTCGTTGTTCGGGAATAACTCTGCTAAGCTTGGGACCAAATCGAACCGCAGGAAATCCAAATAGCGAGCAGCAGTTAAATTTTCCTCGAAAAAATACGGGCCTAAAATACGACGCCCTATTATTCCCGCCCAAACGTTCACCTTTCGGGGGTGCTGATGATCTACTTCTTGCACCCAGTGCGGGTTTTCCTGAGACCAATACCGGCAGTTATGTCGATGCACCGATCCATTAAGATAAAAAGTAGCCTCGTCAGAAAAAATTATGTTCTTGAGGAAGTCGGGGTCTCCGTTACATCGATGCATTAAATCTTCACAAAAGTGGAGACGGCGGTCTGGGTCGTCCTCAGTCAATGCATGTATCAAGTGACCCTTATAGGGGTGAAATTTCTCTTTTTTGAGAAAGTTCACCACAGTTACATGTGAAATATCATTGTTCAATGCAATCGACCTTGTACTAGAATGAGGGTTGTCCTGGAGCTCCACCAGGATATTCAATCTAGTTTCATCATCTACTCTAGGACGACCCGCACGAGGAGCATCTTTCACACTACCAGTTTCCTCAAACCTTGCCAGTACCCTACTAACCGTAGATTGCGTAATTGGTGGTCTGTCAGGGTACGTTGCATTAAATAATTGGCAAGCTTCTTGATGGGTTCGTAACTTATCGCCGAAACCAATCATCCTCAAAATATCAATTCTTTCGCGTTCACTAAGTTTTGCCATTTCGAATTAAACGATTTCACCAAAGAATGTTAAATCGGTACTGATTTTTAGTCTTCAATATTTCAGGTAATCTACTCCTTTCAAGTAAACATTTCTTTGGATCTTTTTTTTTTGGGGAATTTATCGGCAAACTCGAAGACAAAAAGTCGACCTTAATTTGCTACATACTATTTGGATTTTGTGCGGTTGAACTTGGTTCTAAATTTTGCAGTTTAATCAGGATCCTGACAATATCTGATGAATAATTCCGCAAATATTACATAACACCAGTTGCAACTTAAGTTATCTGAAATGCTTTCTGCCGAATAAATTTTTTTCTAAGGCATTTGATCCGTAAACAGCAAATTATTGCATTCAAGAACTTAAGGTGCATTTTTCTAAAAAAAATTGTTATGTAAGACATCGAAATTTTCACACCGTTGTTTAGATAATTATCACTGTCATCAATTTCGAACGAAAAAAATATGCGTTGTCATTTAAAAAAAAATTATGTCATCGCTGCCGTAAGTGGATTATCGAAAAAAAAATTTTTCCACATAACAAGGTGCCCTGGATCAAATAAAAATCGACGGGTCTCACCGTTTTTCGAAAAAAAAATTGTTTAACGAAAATATGAATTTTATGCAGAACTTTTTTACCACGCTTTACTTATCGTTACCATAGCCATAGATATGTACTTGCATCTATCAAAACAAATATTTAAAATTTGGCGTCGCGTCGGTTGACAGTTACTAAAAAATGAGTCAGTACTCTACTCAATATCAGTATATAACAAGAAGTGGAGGATTCTTAAATTATGCAAATAATCTTCACTATTGTACTTATAAATAATAAATATAAAAAAAATGTTCAATATTAAAATTGAATTCATAGAGAACTATAATGAGTTTATATTCCTAGGCATATAAATGACAATTCATATTATTGAGTAACGTCAAATAAGCTGTTGCCGCTTATATGGCGTTTGAAGAAAAACGTTATCTTGAATTAACATATTTGATATCTTTGACTTCATGTCGCTAGTGGCGTTGATTATCCACGAACTGGCACGAACGCGAGAGTCACTCATCTATATTTTTTTTCTAATCTGTGGTCTCTATGAGGTTCATAGATAAAAGAGTTGATGAGTGATGAGGTTATTGTGGTTATGTCGTTATGTCAGCCCCCAGATCTCCCAGAAAATTTCCTGGTCGAAACCGGCAATACATATAATAATAATTACCGACTTACATGGAAGTAAAATTAAATATATGGATAGAAGATGCAGAAATAAGTGAATCTAGACTGTATAAGTTCAAGAATGAAATATTTTACTATCGTTTAGTCTATTAACTAAATGTGAGTATATCGCAGATCTATGTAATTCCAACGTTATTTATTTACTTGATTCTTTTAGTGTAATCAGTCACAATATATATATTATACATTTCCTACTGTTGGCGAATACCAGAATACCAATAATAGCAAGAAGTAACTGTTTATTAGAATTTAAATAAATGAATCAGTTAGAATGTATCGTGCAGAAACATGTAGAAATGTTTTGCAAGATAATGCCCCGTCATGTTGAAAAATGGAAAATACTATTACAGCATGCTACAAAACCAGCAGAAGCACTTTCAAATTATGCTGAACAGTTACGTCACGTGCAGAAGTAAGTTACCAGTTGCCTCATTTATTTTTTATTAATAATTGTAATTTGATTTGCTTTAAGATCATAAGTCAGTCAAAGATAGGATTTTAGATTTTGATGATGTTACATCTTTAAAAAATAAGTACAGGTGCTCTATTAGTGCAGCCAAGTACAATAGCTTGTATTATTTGAGTTAAAAAGCAGTATTTTGGAATAAAGTGGTATATGAAACAGTTGAAAAAAAGTAAGTTTTTTAATGGAATACCTTATTACAGGTTTGAATTGACGGTGGAATTTTGCATGTAGTGGCATAATTAATTTAGATTTGGAAAATGCACTTAATTTTATTACATTATCATACATTTGTTTCAAGATAGTTAATTTTTTATTTATTACATTTTTTACATTAATTATACGGTATGATTTAATATTTTTTGTGTATGTAGGTACATGGAACTACCTCAGATTGTTGGGACCTAAATTATATGATTTGACTAAACTTACCTTTATCTAAAATTGCTTTGTTTAGGTGCTAAAGAATGAAGTTGGTAAAAGTTTTTTTTTTTACATTAGAAGTTCTTTTTTTTGCTATGTTATATATATATTTTTAATTTGTTCAATTTATGCTGGCCTATTTCTGCGACAATGGCTAAGCAAGCACCAACTCCAGGAAACGAGCAACCTCCAACCTGGAATTTTAAGCGAACTCCCATTTTGTCAGGGTAGGCATAATTTACTTGCCTAACATTGCTTAGACAAGGAACCATCAGTTTTACGTCTTTTCTGAGGGGTGATTACATTTATCTATGCAAATTTCACCTAAATTTGTATAGCTTCTGTAAATGCACCTACATGTGTACATTTGCATATTTAGAATTTTCCCTTTAAATATATATCTAAATTTTGATGTTAAGCAGATTCATTATCTTATGACATCAAAAAAAATTGAGTAGTTGATTGTAGAAATATCTTTATGAACCCACTGTTGCTAACAGGTAATCCAAGTCAGGGGCATACAGTGGGTATCGGTATTTTAGCTGTTCGTATTGAACTCATTGCTTTATTTATTATTGCTAATTCGTTTCCGGTAAACTTTTATCACCATAGTGTTCCTTCACAATATAGTTATAGACTTTTTTTGAGGACGACCTTACAAAATCAGTATTTGTTCTATCTTTTTCTTTCTTGCAATTTTTTTGTACTTATATAAAAAATGTTCCCGTAATTAATAATTTTTTTTGCTTAGCGTACGTGAAAATGAATCATATTGACCATAAAAATATGATCGAAAGTAATATTTATCGACCCTTGGGCCGCGATAGTCCAAAGGGCAGAATATGAGCATTAGTAACCCGTGGATATTAGACGGTGAAGGTGTCCAGATTGTGAAAAACTACAAAATCATGTTATAAGTTTTTTTGCCTAGCATAATATGAAAATGAATTATATTGACCGCAAAAATAAATATGACCGAAAGTAATATTTATCGACCCTTGGGCCGCTAAACTTATAAAATAAATTTTTGGCACACTATTAGCCAGATGGCTTAATTTACAATTTCAAAGTTTCTTTTGAAGTAGAAAGTGATATATTTTTTGAAACGTCCAGAAGTCTAAACCGACGAAGTGACAGTTAGCCCAGAAATTGTGGAATAATGACTAATGGTCCTAAATAGTGGCTTCTATATTTTAGGTAAAATTTTCATGATGATTAAGGAATGACCACTTAAAATAATCCGGGAGTCAAAATTTGAAGATAGGATGGCTTTTGAATTTTCACGAAAACTTGTTATAGCTTTAGTTTTCCAACCATTTGTCAAAATCAATTTATTTTGGTAAACACCATATAGCAGAGACAGCAGGCTTGAAGTAAATATTCTATTACCGTACTGAAAAAAATCTATTCTTTTGTATCTCCTTTGAGAAGTTTAGTCTGTATATTTTTTCTACTGTTTTATATACCATACTGAAACATGGATCAGAAAAATTATGCATTTGATTTTCTTCTCACAACTCTTACCTTTTAAAGCAATTAAATTCTGGCAACACACTTTGTTAATTAGCATTTCAATATTATTCTAGTTTGAGCAACTACCTATTGTACTTTAACAAATTTTACAATACTACCTACGTAACCACCTATAAGGGTATGCTTGTGTTAAATTGGCCCTAACTTTTTTACTACTCTGTACATTGATGTTTCGTATTAGTGAACACCGTGTATTTTTTGTTAGGGTTGCTGTTACTATTAGAGATATTTACAATTTTCTATTTTTTGGACACATTTTCTCGTATCAGACCTGTTGTCAAATTGGCCATGACCAGAACACTCCAAAACAATTAAAATAACTTGACATTTGTCAAGTTAGTTGACAAATTATTGTTGTGTCTGTAATAGTTTTGCCGAAAATTTAAATAAAAATGCCTTTGGATCGTTTACTTATGAGGATTATTTTAATTTGTAGCTATTTTTATTTAAATTTTCGGCAATAACTATTCAAACACAATAATAATTTGACAACTAACTTGACAAATGTAATGTTATTTCAATTGTTTTTGGAGTGTTTCTGGTCATGGCCAATTTGACAATAGGTCTGATACGATGAAAATTGTCCTACTAATATCTCTAAAAGTAGTAATGGCAACCTTAACAATGATTATATGGCTTGAAAGCAAATTTCAATCTGCATACGACAGAGTAAAAAAGTATGGGGTGTCTTTTTAAGTTAACAATGTTATAGCTGTTTGAAGTTATCAAAATGTAACAGCAAAAATGAAACACCTAGTATTAAATGTTTTAATTTGGTGGTATACCAACCATAGTGTAGTGTTAAAATCTCAAAATCTATAACTTCTAGGTATAGGTGTTATTTAATAAAGTGATCCTCAAATTTCACGTAGAATATGAAAATGCAATAATATATAGGGTGTCCCTCTTAAAATAACGAAGTTGGTATTGACTTTCAGTATAACCGGAAGTGCTGGCTGGTTCTACATATTTTAGTTGTGTTTGCCCCAGGGACATTGCTATGTTGTCAAATTTTCAAATTTTTCGGAGCATTACTTTCCTAGATATCGATGTACGCAGTTCTCGGTGGGACAGCCTGAATTTAAAATTTATTTTGACTTAAAAATTTCTTTAATATTGACTAAATGACTTTAACATTCACGAGAATAGCAAGTTTCTATATATATAATATCTGAGATATGCTAATGAACATCGAAAATAAGAAATAATTATATGTGGTTTTGAGATATTCTGTTATGTATTTATGAAAAAAAAGTATGTGTATATTTCAGGGCTGCTGTGACACACATAGAAGAATTCGCTGAAATCCAAAAAAATATTGAATATAAAATAGTCAAAGGAATTGACTATGAAATTCGAATATTGAAGGAGATTGTGTAAGTTAACATTAATCGAGCTTCTATAATAAATATAACTTAAAAAATATTTAAATAAGAAACGTAGTTTGTGGGTTACTGAACTGTTAATAGCTTTTCTTGTCTTATATTTTTAATAATCAAATGTACACTATATTGTTTAAATTGTTTATTCCCAAATACTTAAACGCATACAACCTCTTTGTTTCGATTGCGTACTCATCCCGTATCGTAATACACACGACTGAAAATAATACCAACCTATCTCTTAGTTTTTCTTTCTTATACTAGAGGGCTGTTACCAACCTTACATCATAGAATATTAAAAGAAATTTATTAGTATATAATATTAAATATTTTATCAAATGTGTTTTGGGGTAATTTGTTTACTCCTGAATGAGAATTTGGGGATTTTTCTTAAAGAAGGCCAAGTTTCGATATCTTGACCATTTCGGGTATGTCTTAACTTTTTGAAATTTCCTTCATCCGCGTCTAAAGAACCTCATAAATTTTTGGAAGGTCCTGAGAAAGTTAAATAGTAAAATTTTCTAGTGGTGCTGGAGATATTTGATCAAATAAAAGAGAACTTTGCTGTAATTGAACTTCAGTTATTTCATAAAGCATTTTCGGATGTATGTATTTATTTCTGAAATAATGTTGATAATTTTGTCATTGAACGTGTTCCATAATTGAAAACCCATTGCAATACTGAATGTGGAGTATGTTTTTAATTCAGTATAAACATTTATTTTCCTTTCTTACTAATTTCGGTTATATGCCCTCATCATTGGAAAGAAATGACTGTCATTGGAAAATAATTTGCTGCATGAAACTTCTAATAACTGATATAATTTGGGTGAAAAAATGCAAATATTTTTTGTTTAAAGTCATTGAGACAAATTAAGGACAAATAATGTTTGTCCTGAATTTATTATTTCGCATGCTTTTTTGCCGAAAACGAAAAAAAAAAAAAATTTCCAGTGGCATGCCATAATTTTTGAGGAAAACAGTATTTATATTTATGTCACCGCTTTGAGTTGAGATTCACACTGTGCGCCACTTTTTTCAAATATTGTGTACTCAAAATCTCGTTTCAGTATCTCCATTTTATTATAAGTATTAATATTTTTTAGGGACCAATTGAATTCATTAAACCATGAGATGAGAAATAAACTATCACTTTTAGAAAGATCAACGATAGATTTAAACTGGGATAATGATTCTCAACTTCTTGTTGGAACTGCGCTTCAACCTCCATTATGGAAAATTTTGCATGAGGGGTTATGTTTTTGGTCATATTTCGCAGATGCAATGAAGTGCATTAATAATCAAATGAAGTATATTAATGTCAAGGATGTCAAGTCAATGGAAGCTTTTGAAAATTGCTTTAATCTTAATTTAGATAATAGCGTTATTACCAATTTGTTATCCAAAACGCAATATGTGAATAATGAGAAACTTTTGGTATAATTATTGTTAAATTTTTACTTCAGGAATTTTAATAAAATTTGAATAAATTGTGTTAGTAAATATGTTTTTATTGATAAATTTATACAGACAAAAGGCAGGGTTGGTTTTATATTTAAAGAAATGAAATTCACAATGTGCAGGGTAACCCAGAACTAATGGTTGATTGCCAGTATTTTATTTAAAAAAGATATATAATAAATACAGAGAAATACACTGATTCGATAAAGTTTTATCAGTGTTGCCGTTAAAAGCGAGATTCTTATTGTTTATGTAAGTGACTAATTATTTAGGACTGTACGACTCCACTTGTATAATGACTGATAACTTTAAAATAGTGGCGGCTCATCGTATGAAGCAACTGAGGCCGGGCCTCACTGTAAAATTTGGCTCTCGCACCATATATTTTAATACTTACTATTCTACTATGAACCTAAATAAACAGTTAGGTAAATTAATTACCTATTACGTTTATCAAAAATCAAAATAACAGTAGGTATAAAATAATGGTTTGAATATTGAATATTTCGCCGTTTGGATACAGTTACTCCTCACTAGTCCCCACCACAGTGAGGCAAGGATTTCTTTGCTTGTAGGCGCGTCACACTTGTCTACAATATACTACAGTTCTCCCTCCATGCGAGGCGGTTAAAATAACGTGATTTACGGGGGAATTGAGGTTAAAAAGCGGCTTATACTCGTAGTTTTAGTTCGCGGTTAATGTACGCGTCGCATAGTACGCGGGTCAGTGTGAGGGACAGTACAAAGGCTTTAAGGATAAGGACAAGGCAGGCATTAATAATAATAATAATAATAATAATAATAATAATAATAATAATAATAATAATAATTTATTAATCCAAAAGACAATACAAATGGCATAGGATAAGTTAGCAAAAAACATAATACATAAAAATTTAAATAAATAAAAAAACTTAAACAAAACAAAGACTAAATTTAACGTAATATAATAGATACTGTCGCAGGATGTTGGCTTTTTTCCTTTAAAAAAATGGCCAAACAGGCGAGATTTAATGATAAGAGGGTTTTGACTTCTTGACAGAAAAAGCTGTCAGTCAAAAAATTTTGGAAATAATTTTTTCAAAAAAGGTTTGTGCGCGGAAATAGACACCAGGTTATTAAACAATTTGTATTTTGCTTTAATATAGAAGTTTAAGTATTCAGACTGCTGAGACTTCTGGTACTGTGACGATGGAGAGAGGAGCTCCGGAAATGTCACACGTAGAACGAATCGTTTCATGTGCTGCGACCTTGCCAGAAGACATTACTGTTCTCAAGCGAGAATTTTTGGCCTCCACCATATCTTTGGAGGAAACCCCGTTCTTGGGATTCCCTAGGAAATCCCAGGATGAGGAGAGCAGTGCTCCCCGTAGCGGAGGAACGGCCACGACGACAATACCTATTATATATAGTCAATATTATATGTATATGTACATAGATAATAATAAATCTCTCACGATATTGTTTTATCTCTTGAAACGCCTTTTTCAAGACGTAATGACGTAAACTACTGTTCTAAACAAATTAAAATCGCTAGTCAAAGAATTTCTGAATTAAGAACCGAAGAAAAATTTGAAAATATTTTTAATTATGCGAAAAATATACTGGACTACCAAGTAAACGGAACGAACTGGAAATATTTTCGAAATGTATTTCTCATTAATTAAGTACCTACTCGTTTTGGGAATTTACATGATTTAAATTTTCTTGCTTTAGTAGATTCCTCAAAATTTCCTGAATATGCAAACAAATTTCCCGAAAAATCGTTTGAATATTTATTACAAATGTATTCAAACGTTTTTGAAAAAGTGAACTTAATATTTTGTACAGAGACGAACAATTTCGTAATTTATAAGTTCAAAAAACGGTAGAAGTATTATAGAAGGAATTTAAAATAGTATTTTCGGAAACATAAATTGTTTTGCCTTCGGTAGAAAGAATCTTTTCATGTCTTGAGCGCATTAAGACTTACCTAGGTACCTACCTACTTAAGAAATACGATGACACAAGGGCGCTTAAACAACTTATCAGTGATGGCGATAGAAAAAGAACTATTGCAAAGTCTTAGTGCCGATCCCCAATTTTATGAAGACATTATAAGTAAATTTGCAAATTTCAAAGGCAGATGAATAAACCTGTTTTATTCACTATATTTTAAAAATAGTTTGTTAAAAGTGGAGGCTAACGAAAAGCTGACGGGCGTTGTTTTATATATAAATAGATAAGTTGGCTGGCTACCTTGTGAAAATTTATTTTTATATTTTTTTTCATATTTTTGAATATTCTTAAACCAAGTAGGATCAATTTTATTAATTATTAGGTTTTTTTCTGTTACTTAATTTTATTGTAAATACAAGTTTTAAAGTTCAGATATTAATATGTATTACTAGGTAATATAATAATAAATTTTAATTTATTACTATTTATTATTTGAGAGCGGATTAATAAAACAATCAAATAGTTGCATAGGTATTATTTTTTATAAAATCTGAATGCACATCCTGCTCTTAAACATCAGTTTTTCTATAATATTGTAAATGCAACTAAAAATTTTCAGATGCATTTAGTCGTTGAAAATTTAAAAATTCACCTATTAACAATGTCACGAACCGCCACTGCTTTAAGAGTATCCACGGGTTTCAGCAGTATAATAATATCTTGAATAGTACCTACTGACAGAATTTTGGATTTCTTGTTTTCAAAATTCAATTGCGCCGTTGATAGATCTGAATGTCCGTTAGTTAACGAAGATAACCACCATCCATCAGCCTTAATAAATCATCCTTATCACTTGCACATAATAATTTCCCGATTGGGCTTTTTTAAAAATGTTTACACTGTAGAGTAAGCATGTTCATTGTTTTTTTATACGACTGCCTTGCACGTATTGCGCACGGAAAACACGCTCTGAAAACGGTATTTTGCACACGGTTACGTCATCTTTGCACACGCGTCTCCAGATTGTGATTTTTGTTTGATGTTGTCACCCAAATTATGCAATGTTTCAAGTTGGCTGAGTTTCATAGCAACCGTCACGGCTCCTTTATTTTGTTGATTAGATACTTCAAAAATTGTTGAATTCCCGAAGTTTGGGTGTGAAAATGTGTGATTCTGAAGAGATTTTACAGAAAGCAAGCGAAATATGTTCGGAACTGCTGCCCACAAAATCCAGAAGCAGGTATGAAGCTGAGTTAAGCCGATTTATGGACTGGCGACTAGCCAAAAATGTCCAAACTTTCTCAGAAAACGCAGTAATGGTGTATTTTGAAGAACTATCTAAGAAATATAAATCTTCGACGTTGTGGACGATTTTTTCGATGCTCAAGTCAACGTTAAGTGCCAATCACAACATAGATCTTGGAAGCTATAAAAAGTTGCAAGCGCTAATCAAACGAAAATCCGAAAACTACGTCCCAAAGAAGTCCCAAATCCTCACAGAAGATGATTTTTGCCGGTTTTTGACGAAAGCATCAGACGACAAATATTTACTTATCAAGGCGGTGGTGGCAGTTGGACTATCTGGGGCATGTCGAAGGGAGGAATTATGTTATCTCAAAATAGAAGACACCAAAGATTTCGGCAGTGCTATGCTGATTAAACTGAAGAATACAAAAACAAAGGTACCAAGGTGTTTTACAATTACAGGAAACCTTTACACTATCTTAAAAAAGTACTGTGCTCTTCGTCCTCCTAATCTGAAGACAGGCAGGTTTTTTTTAAACTATCAAAACGGAAAATGTTCAAGCCAAAACGTTGGCATCAACAAAATTGGAAACATGGCTAGGGAAATCGCCAAGTTTTTGATGCTAGAGAATCCAGAAAGTTACACGGGACATTGTTTTCGGCGTTCATCGGCCACAATTTTAGTCAATTCTGGCTCAAATCTGCTTGCCCTCAAACGCCATGGAGGGTGGAAATCCAGTACAGTTGCCGAAGGCTACGTTGATGACTGTTTGAGAAATAAAATGGAAGTTTCGAAAAAGATAGAGTCTTCAGTGTCTTCTGCTGCCACAGAACCAGAACAACGATCGTCTACTGGAATACAACAAGAAAACAACGACCGCACGCTGAAAAACTGCACTAAAAACACGACACCAAAAATATTCTCTATTACCGAAAACAAGGTGCACAATAATACTGCTTTTCCCAGCGTAACCTTGAAGGAATGTTCAAATGTTACCATAAATATTAAATATTAGTTTCTTTTGTTAATGCGTTAGCAATTTTCTTAATAAAAACGAGTTAAATTAAAAGTTGTATTTAATTTATTTTGTTAATGCGTTGGCAATTTTAGTAATAAAAACGATTTAAATTAAAATTTGATTTTTGTGGTCTCTGTTTGCAGTCGTATAAAAAGTATCGTAAAAAACTCGTTTGAAAACCTCTTTGCACACTCGCTCGACTTGTGGACCTCGCCTTCGGCTCGGTCCACCAATATGTCTCGCTCGTGTGCAAAGAGTCGTTTTCAAACCTTGTTGTTTAATATACTATTATGTATAGCCTTTTGGACTTAGCAGTGCCAAAGTTGTACGTAAAACTCATTGTTGTCACTATCCACTTTGGTTTACTGGAGAGGTAATTGCATCTATTCGGGCTAAAGTTTCAGCGTACAGGCGTTACAAAATACAAAACACCTGATTTTTATAATATTAGCATCACCGTTTCATCTCCAAACGTCTGATTGATGAGGCGTATAAATCTTTTATAGGAGTCACTGAACAGTCTCTCTCTGATGATCCTAAGAAATTTTGAAATTTCATACAAAAAGAGGATCCTCCCGCATACCTTCTACGATGGTTCTTAATGACAAAGAGATCTAATTCAACAGATATTGTTAATGCATTTGGCAACTATTTCAATAGTGTTTTCATTCAGTCTCATGCTGTAGATAGATCTAAATTTCCTTTTCATAATATCTCTGGTAATTCCGTAACATTAACGTCTTTTACATATGAAGATGTTTTACAGAATTTGCAGCGTTTCAAGGACACTCTTACTATGAATGTTGATGGAATTCCCAGCTTTTTACTTAAAGATTGTGCAT